ACGAAATTCAAAACAAACAAACAAACAATCTATTACAATACAGAACATCAGTTAATTTATATACTCTGCGCAAAAAAATTAAAGAGTAATTGGAGTTTATAATATTCTACCTACAAGAAAGCAAAAACCATCATTATAAAGTAAAGTCAATCATCATCCTCAGATGTAAAATAAATATCTTATCATCCATCATTTAATCTAAAATGCAAATGGTTGTAAATGAATGTTTAGTTGAAGTGGCTTTACATTTTTACAGTTCACAATACTTCACGTCAGTGTTTAGTGTGATCATCATAAACAGTTAAATTAAACTGGCACTGATGATTGCAGGCTGAAATTCATTGTGTTGACAATCCACAAGGTATCCAAAAAAAAAGGGAGGTTATTTCTAAGGCACTTATGGTGTATGTGGGTCACTTGATGGGATGTGATGCAATTTAGCACAGTGAGGATAAGTAATATCATCCATTAGATTGAAAGGAAGGCATATTGCATCAGCATATGGCAGTACAAATGGTTGTAGGATATAATACCTACAATGTGTGGTATTAACAGTACCATTCCATAGGTTGATAGGTCCACTTTGGCTTATTTACACCTACACATACTTCCACCACCACATCCATTTTTAGATCCTCTCCACCTGACCAAATTCATTTTATTTGGCTTCAGGGTGAAGTACAAGTCATCTGTAAAGAGAATACTGCTCCATATGTCACTGAAACACTGAATGAGTTTTTATCACATAGTAAGTGTGTCATTTTGTGCCTTGCTCCAAGCAGAATGCCCTTCACACTAAGAGGCCATCTCCTTTAGAGTCTGTTTCTAGCTACCTGTACACTGACTTGCCGTTGAGTTTTGGCTTTGAACATCTAATTTAGTCTCACTAAAATCAAAGAAACCAGAACCAACAGGAAAGGGACATCTGTTTATCTCTGTGTCTAAACAACTGCACCTTCAATTGGAAATGGTTCTAAGTTTTTCTCACAAGAACTGCAGACAACTTGCAACAGCATGCTATGATTGGCCAGCATTCACTCTTTCAATGATTCTTCTCAAATGCGGAACATCCAAATGTCTTCTTTGAAACCTAACTATGGTTCACAAACAATATAAAACTCTGTGGTTCATTTTAAAGAGACACTGAGACAACATTTTGTATCATCACTATAAACAGAATAGGCAAAACAACAAATCATTTGCATTTCAGATCATGATTTATTAAATGCATGACTTGCATAACACTAAACTGAGGGTGGAATGATTGACATTACTTTACAAAAGCGGTTTTACTTTGTCAATATAGCTGTATTATCACAAATTTTGATTATGCTTTGTTTTGTGCAGGGTACAATACACAATTTAATAATATTATTAAAATAAGACACATATCACAGATTTTCATTTATTTAACATAACACTTTTTGTAGACAAGTATTTTGACTTACTTTCTTGTAGATTTACATCAATTCACAAGTAAATACAAAGAACAAATTAAAAGGCATAGTTTTGGCCACACTTGACATAAATTACACCACCTTATCTTGGAGTTATACAAAAAATTTAATGAAAACACTTCTGGCAGTTTGTATGGGGGGGGGGGGGCTGAAATACATATATTGACAAGGAATGTATTCATCAGGGTTTATATAAACTTTGAATATGGGAGTAGCAGGTACACATTCTTAGTTCACTTCCTCTTAATAAAAAATATTAGTATTGACCAATAAAGAATACTGATTATCATAGATGGTAGCAATTATACAGAAAAGTTTAATAATATTTATCATAGATATTATGTTGTATTATGTACTTTTGATCAATAGTGAGAAGGTACCAACTATACAGCATGGTAGAGTATTTATCATCATGTAAATTACAGGGATTAGAGAATACTATCAAGTGTTAAACACCATGTGTATACATTACTTTGTGTTTATAACCATTATCACCAAAATACAATTTGGAAATATCACAGATAATCTTCTAGATCTTTCAACAAATATCTTAAGCTCACAAATTTGGCTACACCTTATATTCTAAACAAAGATGATACAGGAAAGGTTTATTTAAAACAATCATAGATATAATGACTAACACTTGAACAAAAATTAGTTGTTTTTTCAGAAAACATGTACATTCCATAAAAAAATATAAATATTAAGAAGTGACTATTTCTTGTAGCCAGCTGTGGTTAATGAATGACAGTTAATGAAAACACTTATCAACCTATTCATTAAATTCAGAAGAGTAAGGTGTTGCTTCAATGTATATGATGATTTGCAGCTCTAAACAATTGCCAAGAAACTTAAAAACTGTCATTAACATAGACAATATACATTTATTTCTAATAATACTACTTGTTCTGATGTCAATGCTATGTTTCTGAAACACAGATTTGGAAGGAAGCCCCATTATTGGACAAGTAAACAAACAGGACAAATCACTTTGGCACCAGCTAATAAGCATAAGATGACAGTGATTTCAGTAGAAAACATGTATTATTTCTTCCAGACTTTACAATTAATAATTTATTTGTGCATTATTCAGTACTTTGTAACAAATTCTGAAGCAATGCCGAAACTTCCTGAAAATGACACAGAAATATGTTACTTAAAGCCAATTGTTAGGTGTTACTTACAACTTTTAAACGAGTCAACGAAACTAGAATAAAAAAACGAGGTTTTAGATGATTCTGCCTCTAAGATTACACAGTTTTAAATCTCATCAGGTTCTGCTGTTATCCACAACCTAACAGAACACTGGTCCTGACTCTATTATGGTAATATATTTCAATATTTTCTAGTTTAGTTTCTAACTTTAGAGGAATAGAAAGAACAACATTCTATTTCAGGCAAATTTCTAAGGTACTATAGTTCTGTGTTTTCTAGTCTAGTTGCAAGCTTTAAGCAAACAAAAAAAAATTAACCTGAACCTGCCAATAAGGTTATGAAACCGTGTCTTCTTACTTATTTGTTACTTTTAATATAACAGGATAATCTTAGTAGAAAATCTGCAACAAATCTACAAAGAAACACATCAAACTGTAGAAGTTACTCCTTTCTGTTTACTGTTAAATATTGAATATTTCCAAAATTGCAAACAATGAGTGTCTTCTTACTTATTTGTTACTTTTAATATAACAGGATAATCTTGGTAGAAAATCTGCAACAAATCTACAAAGAAACACATCAAACTGTAGAAGTTACTCCTTTCTGTTTACTGTTAAATATTGAATATTTCCAAAATTGCAAACAATGAGTGTGTATATTTATACAGATCAGATTTTAAACTTGTTTGAACCAATTCATTCGAATTCAACTAAATTATCTGAATAAGGTAACTAGCCTTGAGTTCAAAATTAAACATTTTTGCTCTGATAAAGGTTTTGTGTATTTTATTTTTAGACTAAATGTGATAATATAATATAGGCACTGCTGTCAAAAATACTTTGGAGATAATAACTTGTTTAGTTTGGAAAACTGTCATTAAATAAATATTACATTTTGTTAACCCTGACCAACTTTCAAGGTTATAGCCAAGCAGTTATCCATATTCAATGGTTAAATAATATATATTTTCAATATAAAATTTTTAAAATGGACTCCAAGACAGAATTGCCTGTCTAAGTTAGCTTATTCATAGATAGTCTAACAATGCGTATAAAATTTAATTTTTTAAAATGGACTATGTGACAGAATTGCCTGTCTAAGTTACCTTATTTATAGATAGTCTAACAATATGTATAAAATTTAAAAAACTATCATTTGTGAAGTAGTGGTATTTGAAATAACAGAAAACTGCTTTTTTTTATTTAATGCACCAATAACTGTTGCAAATAAACCCAACAAAAGTTATACACCTACATGAAATAAGTTGTTTTACTTATTAAACACTTATAACATTATTAAGAAGTATTAATGTAATAAACATTGGTATTTTACCTAACATACCTACCTTATATTATTTTAATGGATGGTGTTAAAAACAACTCAATACCAAAATCTGCCAGAAGAAAAGAAGAGATAACATAGAAAAAAAATTGATTTTCAAATAAACTACATTTCAAACTTTTAGATAATTAACTAATAGCTTATTGAAATTGATGATAATTAATAATATAATGCAACAATCAAAAATACAAACCACAGCTAGAAAGATCATTACAAGTAAAAATTTCAACTTAAATACTTACAGCTATCAGTTTTCATTAAACATTTTAAATATTTATGGTGTTGTTATTTCAGCTCTATTAAATCACAATATTGCTAAACACCAACACATCCTGACAAATTATTGAAAAGCTAAACAGATAGTTTAAAAGCACTTGAAAAAAAATAAACAAAATACACCATGAAAGCCTTCATAAAGAAAATCTTTTGCCTTCACTTACAGTAATGTTTCACAAAATTAACCTGTTTTTTTCCTACAAAGCAGGCTCAAATTCCAGACTCGAATCAATTTTTTTTTCAAATCACATATCCTTTTGTGAATTTAAGATTCCACATCATCTATTTACTGCCAGAGAATAGTATCACAGTAAACTATTTTCTGCCTGATTGATTTCCTTGACAAGTTGAGCATGTTCTTCCAAAAGACGAGCAAATTCTTCTTTCCTCAGACGTGCATGATCCTAGTAAACAAAATGTCACCTAGTTAACAGATATGTGGAATTTTGGTAAACAGAAATATCAACATAGATTACCTTAATTATCAGACATGTGTGGTTCAGCTAAAAAACATGTTAATAACTTATACTAATTAGTAAACACACAATTGTTTATGGTAAACAAAAAGTAGTAGACTATTCTTGCTATCAAGAGATTCATAATACTGATAAATTGTAATTTGATTTAGACTTTTTTGTACAAGTTTCCTTTAACAAAATGTGGATCAGCAGTTGTATTGTCATTGTTTTGTTCAATTTTGGCATATTTCCAATTAGTACGATGTAATATCCAAATTACTTTTAAATCAATATTTGTTGATTTTTGTCTGTTAAGTAGAATTTTCTCAGCCTGTATAAATTAGTAACTAAAGAATACACAAAATACTAAAAAAATCCTATAAACATATTTTAGTGGTAAAAAAACAAAAACACTTAACTACCTTACAAAAGAGCTTGGCAATTAGTGGAATGTGATAATTGATTAACTGCCAGGCTCATTAATCAATTACATTCAACTAATCAATTAATCTCATGAGACTTGGATAGTTGAAGTAATCAAAAATAGTAACAGTTGGAAACAATAATTTTGATTATTTGATTATTTTCATCAGTTGTGACACTAATTGATTATGATGATATCCTTGAACTAATAAAAAATAATAATAATAATGCAACTGAAATATTTTGATTACTTGGATAACTGTGAGAATCAAAAATAGCAATTAGAAACACTAATTGATTAATTTATTATTTTTGTGGCATTAATCACTTTAATCATAATTTTGTTTAATTAATTATTTTACATGAAACTAATTTATGATCACAGATAATCAATTGTAGTGATTAACTTAATTAACTGTCCAGCCCTTCTTCACCAAGTAAAAATACACACTTTTCTCACCACAAAATAAGAACTTACCATAATCAACTGAACACTTGATTTCCTTGGGGACTTTTCAACTGTATGAAAATAAATTAATGATGGTTATGAATATAGACACACCCAAATGTTGTATGATAATATGGTAAATATATATGACATGTGCGTGCTCATAAACACACACAAATATATTAAAGTAATAAACAGGCAGTTAGTGTTGGTTATATGTTCCAATACCATAACGTTAGCAAGTTAAATAATTTACTACTCTTTATAGATATATTTGTGTGTGTGTGTGTGTGTGTGTGTGTGTGTGTGTCTGTAAGAGGTCCAAACTGGGACACGTGGTCACCAAGTGCAAATAAATAGCACAAGTACAGCAGTTGACCAATTCAGCATATATATACTGTACCTGGTGTTCTGAAGATATATTTCAGGACATAACAAATGTCCCAATTTTAACTTACCTTATTTTTTATTTTTTTTGCTAGGTGACTTCATATTTGCCTAAAAGTTAAAGTTTTTAAAAAGAACTAGTAATCTACTTTTTGGCTATTATTGTTGTCAGTATAGCTAAAAGATAGAAAATGTAACTATTAATTGTAATGAACAATATAAAAGACACCCTGCTGGCCTGTGCAGTGACATCGTCAGTCACATGATCAGTGAGAGATGTGATGTTCTCAGACTTTTCTGGTTGGCATGTTTAGTCTGCTTCACTTAGCTATACAGATCTCAATGCCAACCAAAGTAGGGATTGAAAATCATTTTAAAATCTATCCAACAAGAATCACTTTACTTGTTTGTGTACTATTTATTGCAGCATTTATTTTGTTTTGGATACTTCTTATAGCAATTATATGAATAACTAATGATCCCTACTTTCCATTAAAAAATTTTTTCTTCCCTATTTATTAGACTATTAAGCCAAGACTGAGTTGGCATGTCCTGACACTTTAATGATGTCCCGGTTTGACCACCTGACATTTATGGTCACTTTGTATTTACATGATCTATATCCTAGATTAAATATGTATATATTGTTACAACAACTCAGCATCGTTTACAAATACTCTTATAATTGTGTACTAAAATAAGGATCAGTCACACTAAAGCTAATAAAATGCCATGTTCTTATACACCAGCACTGATACATTTAGCATAACAAACAGCATATAGCTAAGATTTTAAAAGTAGAATAAATCATTTTACAACTACTGAAAAACTTGAATCAGCATCTTTTAGTTTAATGCTCACCTAGATAATAGTTAAAGAAATTCAAGGTAAAATTTTTAACTCGCTCAAAAAGCTATAACGTAGCATATAATACCCAGTTTATGTTTAAATGGTGGAAAAAACAATATTGAAACCAATAAAAATACACATTGGCAATTATTTTCAAAATAACATTCACCAAGATAAACACAAGCTGCACCTTTTCAAATGTCACAATTACCATTTGAAAGATTTAACTTTTCCAAACATAAAAATCACCCTACGTATTCCAGATTATATAAATTGTTAGTCCTCATACTTACAATGTATAGGTTCTACTTCTTCTTGCTCCTTAATATCTGGGAATTCTTGTTCTTCGTGTTCCCCATTGTCAACTGATTCAACAATAATACTGACAGTTTGAACTAAAGGAGGGTGCTGCTTCTGTTCTGATGAATGAAGACTGATCCTTGTGTCATCAGTTCTTTGTAGCTCAGGTTGTCTGGTCAAGGCTAAGTCTGCTTCATTACTCTCTCTTTGTTGAGACATGATGATGCTATAAGACAAAATTTTTATTAGATTCAAACAGTGGATACGTGTAGAAATGTATACACACTTACTTAATCTACTAGTACTCATAGCAACAAGTGCTTATCAAATTCACAGTATGAAGAGACATTAGAAAATAGCAAACAAATCATACCTGTAAAATCAATAAATTATTTAATTCATCTACCCTTTATTCATGACCTTCATGAGCTATTAACTAAAGGTTAAGGTCAAATGGTATGTATTTATAAAACAGACCTATTGAAATTGTTCATATCAGTAAATGTTTATTAGTAGGTAAGTCAATGAGGAAGTATCAAACTGCATGTTCTTGTATTTTGTTTGTTATACAAGTGTCAGTAATGGATTCAGATAAAAGGTAGAGAAAACGTTTGTAGTTTTATTGTTATGTTAGCAGCAATAAGAAACTTTGGTTATTTATGGTCAAACAAGAGAAGAGCTAGAAATGGTGTGTGTACAAATGCTTTTATTATAGTTTTCGTTCAAAAAAAGGTTAATAATTAAACAGTGAGTGAACGCTAAAAGTATCATTGATGATTGCTGGACATCTACGGTTTCTTAGGCCACATCGGTAATATAGTTGTAAAGGTTTACTTGGAGATGGATTCACTTGGTGTTTAGAACATCAGAAACAGAGAGGTTTATTACACCTCGAGTTTTTGCACTAATACAGAACCCACTGTGAAGGTTTACAGCACCTAAAATAAATACTCCACGGAGCTTTGTAGTACAAGACCTGTAGTTCAGAGCAGAAGTAGGGAACTTCTAACGACGAACCCGCCAAGCACTACCTACGACGACGTTCCACCTCCATCCCGATGACGTCTCCTACTAAACCTAAAAGCAAAGCAACTCAGACTGAAATAACCGACGATGAACACCAGAAAATCCCACTGATTGAAGACTGGATGACCAAACCACCTTAGCCACTGCAGCCAACTCTTCAAGGCATCATGGGCAAGACAATCAAAGCAGTGAAGGCCAATGTCTCCCTGAAGTCTTACCTACCAGTTGGGGAGGCCCTGCATGGCCAGGTGAATAAGGCGCTCGACTCGCAATCTGAGGGTCGCGGGTTCGAATCCCCGTCCCACCAAACATGCTCGCCCTTTCAACCGCGGGGGCGTTATAATGTGACGGTCAATCCCACTATTCGTTGGTAAAAGAGTAGCCCAAGAGTTGGCGGTGGGTGGTGATGACTAGCTGCCTTTCCTCTAGTCTTACACTGCTAAATTAGGGACGGCTAGTGCAGATAGCCCTCGTGTAGCTTTGCGCGAAATTCAAAACAAACAAACAATTTTACTTTAATGTTTCTAAAAAGGATTAATGACATAACTATTGTGAGACGGTACAGAGAACCATTCTTTGTCATAGTTCAATATTTGAAATGAGTATTTACAATCGCACCATTTATAACTTCCGAAGTGCTGATAAATAGGTTGAATTACCGTAAAAACAAAAAATAAAGTACAGCTCCTTCATTATAACAATAGTTCTGAAAGTACAGCTCCTTCATTATAACAATAGTTCTGAAAGTACAGCTCCTTCATTATAACAGTTCTTAAATATAAAGTTTCAAGGTCGTTCTGGTTACGGGTCTTGGAAATATCTAATTTATTTCCATTAAAATTTACTCTATTGTTTTGAAATGCGTATATTTTAAAGTATTTTACTGTGCTGTTTTGTTGTACACCTTTTACCTAAATATTCTGCTTCAAACTGAATTATTGGCAACACGTCCGGTACACGTCTTTGTAAAAGGTAAGATTAATAGAGTCCAAATTAAGAGTTGACTGATAATTACAGTGTCTTCACTGAAAATTTAATTCTGTCCAAAGTTGTTTTTAACATATATATAGCGTTTGCGCAATACATATCAACCATATGCAACACTAAAGTCCGGGGTTTGATTCTCCGTTGTGGACAGAGCGCGTTTTGCGTTGTTATTTGTTTGGAGAGAAAAAATATGTTCATCACCTTTTTTGTTTTGTTTTTTCGTATTGATACTTCTAAATTAAAACTGCAACTTCAATACTCGTAGTGCACGAACATGCACGTCGTCCGCGGGTAATACAATGGCTAACTGTACAAGCCGTACTTGGACAGGAATTACTAAACTCTGGTAGATAAGACGAATAGCGAGGGAAAGAACAACAAAAAACAACAACAAAAAAAAACAAACACACATATACGTCCATGAACACACATGTGTCGACATATCGGTAGGGAATCTAAATAACTTGGTTCTTTTTACAGTGCGAATAACAATAACGTCAGATTGCAAAGAGCTATCGCACTCGCGGTTACAGAGTTTCACGCGCCTGTTACGTCACACTGGACACCGTATCTCTGTTCAATCTTATATGGCTATTGTCCATCAGTTCGGTTAATCAACGAACGCGGTTTCGATCAAAGCACCAGTACCAAGCATTTCTAAAGAACTGGGTAACAATCGGTAACGTTAGCCTAATTGAAACTGTTTCCTCTGAATACTGCTCATTCTCCATTTTCTTAGTGATGTATGTTCAGTCGTAATTCTAGGGATCTATTTTTTGTTTCTTAAACAATATAAAATAAAACTCCCAAATAAAATTTCTCAAAAGCTGACCAATTATCTGTCTTGGTCCTGTTGCCACTTTTTCATTATTTTTTACAAGTGTTACGATTTGTTTATACGAGGTGCTTGATCAAATTGCTGGATGTTTAAAATCGCTTATTCAAATAAATTTTCATTTTCTTTTACTTGATTATGTACATATTCTTATACTGAAAAGACCAAGGTGATTTTACAGAAGGTAAACTATTTTCATGGAGACAAAACGCGTACATTAGCGTCTCAACTACTACAGGATGTCCGAAAAGTCTGGAACCATAGGTGATTTGCAGCTTCTCGGGTTTTAATAAGGGCTAGATTCTTTACAGAAGGTGTCTGTGAATTGTTGGCGATAAATGTCAACAATAAACGGACAGCACACGATCCACTTGTTTCAAAATAATATATTCAAAAAAGTCAAGCACTATTGGTTATCACAATTGTATCCAGAGTTTTAAATAATTGCCTTCTTTTCGTCAAAGTCCACACAGGCAGGTTCAATTACTTTAGAATACTCCTTGACAAGACAAATGTATCTTTATCTCTGTTGTTACAACACCACTGTGAAACTCACTTTAGAGATTGCCCGTTACAGCTAAACTGACAATCACGCAGTCTAACTTCACTTTCACTAACTTACTTTAACTTCTTCCTTGCGCTCTATATTTGCACGTATTTGTAACACGCGACAGAAAAATCTAGAAGTATCTAGCCCTCTAGTGACACAATATTCACATGACCAGAAAAACGTAGAAGCTTAGAGAAAGATGACGTCAACAGTATTGCAAAAGCCTGGTACAACAATTAAAATGCACACACAACGTACGACCCGTACAGAGTTACGTAACGAAATTTGTCATAACTATCGCATTTGAAATAATTAACTTTTAACACTCTTGTTATGAAAACTAAATGATCATTAAATATTAAATCACTACATAAACTAAATAATAACTCTTAAACTAAACAGTCTTGTATACTCAACACAGCTTTTATTAACTTCAGATACGTGACTGATTGATTATGGCGCTGTCAAAGCATGACAAGGTTAAGTTAATCCTGCTGTTAATCCAAACCTATTTCGAATTATAAGGACAGCAAATGGAATACGTTATGTAAAATTCGTTAAAGTGGCTATGGTTTCAGACTTTTTTAACACATTGTATATACTATATCTGTCGTATATCAGTCGGCCTGAAGAGCCATGATATTGAGTGAAAGGCCTCTTTGGTGCTGGATACGGCAGATATAGGATAGTTGCCATATTATTATACATCCTTCTTTACCTTCGCTCAGAAATTATGATTAATAAATTTTATCTGAATGGTGGTGGATAGTTTTTACGTTACATAGACATCCTTGAAATCAGCAGTCCAATGGCTGTTGTGAAAAATGAGGGTATGTGGGATGAGGTTAACTTCTTAAAAACAGCAAAAACAAAGAGACTGAAAGCTATTTGTATTTGTACGATTTAGCGTACAATTTCTTTCACTTGAGTTTCCTGAATTTTGACTCCCTGGCTGTTAAGATTGGATAGTAGAGAATAAACCCACCAATAGTCATATTTTGCAATAAAAAAAACCTCTGATCTGACCTATACATTAAGTACATTTACTGTATTTATTAACCTTACTTAAAATCAGCATTTCTTATTATGTATGATTAATTTGTTACTGATGGCAGAAAATAAAAAAAAACAGTATGTGGCCCCAAAAGTTTCTGTTTTCTTAAAAATTAATATTCGACAGCATCAGATAGATCTGAACTTGCATTTTGTGTGATATTATATCTAACATATAATTATTATGTCTTTAAAGCCAAAAATCAAATATCATATGTGATACATATATATTAATTTTAAGAAAAGCAGGCCATTTAATAAAATAAGCTAAGAATTGGTTCAATATTTTTATGAACTTTGCCCTTTCTTATTCATTACGTAAATGCTAGCCCAGACATTGATCTAAAATGTGAAAACATAAACCTTTCCTTGGGTCATCTGCAGAACTACGCAAGTCATATTTGTGCTGTGTTTGCCACAGGGATAGAACTTCGATTTTAGCGATATGGGTCTTCGAGCTTATAACCCGGAGGGAGGCGTTCTCATTTGCTAACTCTAAAATTTAATACAGTGTGGAGAATTTCACATGATTGTCTGTTTGTTTGTAATAGCGAAATTTCTAAGGGCATCTGTTGTGGTGGGAAGACCACCAGCCAGAAGCGTTCACCACAAACTATTGGGCTGTTCTTTACCAAAGAATTGTGGGATTGACCGCCACATTATAAAATTCCAATTGCTGAAAGGGTGGGCATGTTCGTAGCCGGGTTTTGATCCTTCGATCTAAAGATTGAGTTAAGCGCCCTAACCATCAGGCCAATTTAACTTGAACCTGTTAGGAGAACATATTGCATTGATGGCATAA